GGAGATGTGGGGTTGGCTGCAGGCAGGGCGGGGGGGCGGGGCTGGTGCGGGCAGGACAGAGGGTACAGGGCTGGCTGCGGGCAGGGCAGGGGGTACGGGGCTGGTGCGGGCAGGGGATGCAGCAGAGGCAGCTGGAGCCCCAGCCCTTTAAATAGCCCCTGAACCCCCCCCATCCCAGGGCTCTGGGGGCTATTTAAAGGGCCCGGGGCTCCCCTGCTTCTACTGCCCCGGCCCTTTAAATAGCCACAGAAGCCCTGGGGAAGCTATTTTTAAATAGCCCCCAGAGCCCCACAGCCCTACCCCAGGCTCCAGCAGTGGGGCTCTGGTGGCAATTTAAAGGGCCTGGGCCCTTTAAATTGCCCCCTGGGGAAGCCGGGCCACCCGGAATGGCGCACCGGCTGTTGCTGGTACGCCATACTGGGGCTTGGGCGCGGGGCCCTCTTAGGCACGGGGCCCAATTCAAGGGAATTGGTTGAATTGGCCTAAAGCCAGCCCTGCTCATCTGGGCTTAAACATGTTGTTGTTTTGGGCTGCTACTCAATGCACAATATGTATGGGGGATGGGGAATGTGGGGGCCAATCTGAATAAATTAGACAAGGGCCTGAGTATGGTTTTGGGCAAGTTTGAAGGCAGGTCCGGAGGCTTGATCTGAAACCTCATCTCTGTAAAAGCCGAGTAGTATTAATTACAAATAGATTATTAACAGGCCAAAGCAATGGACCAAACCAGGTCTGACGTGTCCAGATTCTAACCTGGTTGTAAATTCTGCAGCTCAGGCCCAGCTCTAGTAGAAACCATCAAAGAGATTAAACTAAAAGCGATATATAGTTTGATGTGCCCTTTCCAGACCTCTCAGGAACATGTTTAATTTACACTCTTTCATTTTCTATCCGTTTTCTCCCCTGTATCTTGGCTATCATCAAAAGTCTATTTACTTCAGATAGCCCCAGGCAAGTGACTGACTGGCGAGGATTTATTTCATTCGGACTTTATCGCTGAGCCAAGTGACAGGGGATGTGAGTGACCTCTCATGGCTGACTGGGAGAGAGCAGGCCCTGTCTCCAAGAGCCCCTACTAGGTGACACCGAAGGCAGAGTGGGTGAAAGGACCTTCAGCGGACAAGTCCCACTGCACTGTCGCAGTTACTGAGAGTTGGCCCCACATTTAAGTCACGTGAAAAGTGGGTAGCCAAGTGCGAGACGGATCAGGGGATGACATGACTATGTGGCTCAGAGGAGGCTGGCAAAGAATGTTTATAATTGGGCTTGTGCTGCTTTTGCCATCTTTATGATGGATTTAGACAGAAGGCCTGAAAGCTTTTTCCAAATCAAAAAAAAAAAAAGTAGTTTTTTCGCCCCCTGCTTGTTGTTTTAACCTCAGAAATAGCAGAAATGCCACGTCTGGTCTCCCCTAGTTTCTCACCAGATCTCAGATGTATTTATTGTGAGCGGCCACATCTTAACTGAAGGGGTGGGAGTTGGAAACAATTATAATAATAAAAAAAAATACCTAACACTTTGCATCCATAGATCTCAACCCGCTTTACAAAGGAGGTCAGTATCATTATCCCTGTTTCACATCTGGGGAAACTGAGGTAGAGAGAAGTGAGCTCACTTCCTAAAGTCACCAGTAGAAGGATGGGAGAGTTAGGAATAGAACCCAGGTCTCCTGAGTCCCACCACAGTCATCTATCTAGGTCACACTGTCTTAACAGAGACAGCCTTTATCCCAACTGTTTGTTAATCATTGGAATTAAACAGCTGGCCACAAAAACAAACAACCCTGAATAATAGTAGAGTCCTAAAGATCCCTTCCCATCTGAGGCGTTCAGTTTTCCTGCCCTGG